CGCCGTGGCCAGGGCTCGGGGACGCTGAGCTGTGATGGGGGCAGAGAAGAGGGTTGTCCTAGCAGGGTGCCGGTCGGTCTGCGCACGCTGGAAAGCTGCCAGCAGCACGGGTCTGTGCTCAGAGACGGAACTTGCCACTGCTAGAAGAAGAAGTGAAAGACAAGCAAAAGACAAAGCAGAGCCCAGTGTTGCTTCCCATGCGGTTCCCCTCTGCAGAGGGCCCCGGAGCAGCACAGCCATGGAGCCGCTCTCCTTCCAGGAATACATCTGCTCCCTGGACCCCACCACTCTGCCTCGCATCCTCAGGATTTGCTCCGGCGTCTACTTTCAAGGTGAGTGCTGGGTGCCCAACTGCCTCCAAAGGGTGCCCCAAGGCTGTGCCACCTACCCCCAGCACACCACTGCAGCCCGGGCTCCCCCCTCCTGCCCTGGCCATGGCTGGTCCCCTGCCACCCAGGTGCCTGTGCCCAGGGGGAGGCACAGGTCCTAGGTCCTTGTGCCATGACCAGGCACTGGTCCCTAAGGCACAGCTTCTTGCAAAAAACTTTCTCTTATGCCCCCAGTGCCCCAGTACATTCAGTCATGCCGCTAGGAAAGCGGTGGGGCACTAGAAACCATCCAAGCTGGTCCTCCACATCACACAATCACAGAATCATTACGGGTGGAAAAGACCTTTTAAGATACCAAGTCCCACCACTGCCTAACTCTGCCAGGCCCACTTCTAAACCACATTCCTGATGCACAGCTCTCGTCCCAGGCAGTGGATCACCCGCTGGCAGTGATCTGGTGGAGAGGGAGCCATGTGCTTGGTGGCTGCAGGGAGGTGGGATGGAATTGGCCCTGGCCCTGGCACGAGGAGCCCAGCAAGGGCACAGAGAGCAGCCTGGTGTGAGCTCTGCTTCCTGCCGGGCCATGTCTCTGGAGATATCTCGAGTTGGGGAGAAGCCTTGACCAGCACAGCTTCCTCAGTTGGTGGCGAAATGGAAGCAGAAATGAATAAATGCTTTTGCAGAATCATGCAGTTGCGTGATTCTGGCAACCGCAGTGTGGCAATTAGCATTACTTGGAGGATTTGCAGCATTCATTTAGTTAAAGAGCAGGAGAAGTGATTGGGGTGGTCTCACTCTGTTTCTCTGTAGCTCAGTCGGGGTGCATGGTTAGCTCTCCCAAGGAGTTCTGGCAGCCTTGATAACATCTTAACAGTTCTAAACGAGTATAAATGCCACGATTCCAAAGGCAGCAGTCAATTTGTTTTGCAGTCGCTGGTGAGGTAGCTGGTACTCTCTGCTTTGCACAGCAGAAAGTTCATCTCAGGGAGGGGAGAATTTTGGGGCTCCACAGAAGGTTTGGGAGCAGCTCAATGAATTCAGAGATTGAAGGGCAGAAGAGGACATTGCTTGTGTTGGAGGGTGTCATGATGTGGTAGCAAAGCCTGAGGAGCTCCTGCTGCAGGAAAGACTTTGTAGTGTGATCAAGCACAGAATCTTTCCTCCCACATCTCTCGTCTGAGTTACACCAGCTCCAGTCATTCCTTCTGTGCTCTTGTACATGGCCTTTCTCCCCTGTTACAATCCCTGCAGAGTTAAAAGCACTGTAATCTTTGCAGTGGGGCTCTACAAGCTTCCAGGTATTCCTGATTCCTTACAAATAAACATCAGCCCCACAAAGACCTTCCGCCAGCCTCCCGGCTGCCCGTTCCCTTGGCTGGTGGTGAAGGTGCCGGAGCCCTCGGGCAGATCAGAGAGCACTGGGGATCAATCAGCGCTGCACCTGCAGGTGCACTGGTGGTATTTCTTGAACACTTCGAGATTTCCTGCCATTACTGAAGATCTTACTACTTCTGCCTTTTAGTTAGCAAAAATTGTGGGTGGGTCCCCAAGATGTGAAAGAAAAACGGCTGCTGGTCTCGTCCCCGCCCCAGGCTCTTCTCTCAGCCACACACTCCTCTTGCCTCCTCTGGTCTTGATCCTGCTCTACGTCACAAAACCGCTCTGGCTTTGTGCTGCGGCGGAGCTGAAGAGCGCGCTGGAGCCCTGCGCAGGGCAGCCACGGCCGCACGTGTCTGTGTGTCCTGCTGCCACCTGCGCCACGTGTGTGTGGAGTTAACCAGGTCTCTGCTCCTGGGGTGTGAGGGATTTCCGTGCTGTGGGCAGCCTGGCTCTGTGTTCCCTCCCTTTTCAGCCCCCGATGCTGTCACAGGGCGCAGGAGGGCAGAGGAGGGGCCTTACACAACATGCGCGGCTTTATGAAACTTCCTAGCTTTCATCCACCGCTTCCTGTGGTTTATTTTTTCACCTTTATTTCCACTCTGAGGTCTCCCCTGCTCCCAGGGGACACACACTCCCCTGGTAAGGCCCGCCGTGCTGTTCTCCCCCATGCTGGTGAGCGGTGGTCACCGCAGTGTCCATCCTTCTGCACCTGAGGTGGCAACATCCAGCCCAACAGCGGGTCCAGCCTTGGCTCCATCTGTCCTGCCTGGACCCAGCGGGGCAAGTGCCTGTGCTGGGACCCTAAACCAACATGATCCTACCGTGGGCAAAGGCACCAGCTCGCCTGCTCACCAGGTGAAGTTGTGCCCAGAGATCATCCAGGCCACCTCCAGGCTCAAGCAGGGTCGGCAGGAGCCGGTTGCTCAGGTTTTTGTCCAAGTAGGTTTTGAGTATCTCCAGTGATGGAGACTCCACAACCCCTCTGGACAGCCTGTAGCAGCGCTTGTTCACAGTCACAGCAAAATTCTTATGTTCAGAGGAAGTTTCAAGTGTTTCAGGTTGTGCCCATGGCCTCTTGTCTTGTCACTGGGCACCACTGAGAAGAGCCTGGCTCTGTCCTCTGTGTACCCCCAGGTATTTATAAACATGAAGAAGGGTTCTCTGAGCGTTCACTTCTCTAGGTCAGCTCGCTCAGCCTGTTCCCGTATGAGAGGTGCTCAGTCCTTTAACCTTCTCCGTGGCCCTCCATTGGGCTCTCTTGTACTGGGGCGCCCAGCCCTGGTCCCAGCGCTCCCTGCGTGCCCTCCCCAGTGCTGAGCAGAGGGGAAGGATCCCCTCCCTCGACCTGCTGGCCATGGACAGCCCAGGACACCGCTCACCTCTGCAGCAAGGGCGTGTTGCTGGCTCATGCTCAGCCTGGTGTGCACCAGGACCCCCGGCCCTTTTCCACCGAGCTCCCCTCCAGCCGGGCGGCCCCAGGACGTGCTGGTGCCGGGGTCTGTTCCTTGCTGGGGGCAGGACTTTGTACATCTCCTTGATGAACTGCACAAGGTTCCCGTCAGCTCGTTTCTCCAGCCTGGCGAGGTCTCTCTGCATGGGGGCACGACCCTCTGGCCTGTCAGCCTCTCCTCCCACTTTTGTGTCACCTGCAGACTTGGCGAGGGCACACTCAGCCCCGTTTTGCAGGTCATTAAAGAAGATCAGGCCCAGTATTGACCCCTGGGGCATGCTGCTAACGACTGACCTCCAAATAGGCTTCATGCCACTGATCACCACCCTCTGTTCAGCCAGGTTTCAGTCCACCTGAATGTCTGCTCATCTTGTCTGTTCTTCGTGAGCTCCTCTATGAGGAGAAGCCAAGGTAACCAATACCCACTGCTCTCCCCTCGGCCACCAAAGCAGTCATCTCCTTGTAGCAGGTGCTCAGGTTGGATGAGGATGATTTCCTCTCTGTAAATCCATGCTGAATGGTCCCAACCGCCTTTTAGTCCTTCATGTATCTGGCAATGGTTTCCAGAATTAGGTGCTCCATCAACTTCCCAGGGTCTGAGGGAAGTGTGACTGGCCTCTCCTGCCTGTCTTGAAAAGAGGAGTGGCATTTGCTTTTTTCCCCCCACTTCAGGAGCCTCTCTCAATTGCCTCTCAAAGATAACAGAGAGTGGCCTTGCGAAGTCAGCGTTCACGGGTGCATCCTGACAGGCCCCCCAGACTTAAGCCCACTGTGTTTAATGCCCCCTTATGTGGCCCTCCTCTAGCAAGGGTAGGTCTTCCTTACTCCAGGCTTTTCCCCTGATCTCAGGTGCAGTCCTGTAAAGACTGAGGCCAAGAAAGTTGAGTAATCGGCTTTCACCATGTCCTTTGTCACCAGGTCCCCCACCCCATTAGCAGCAGACCCGCATTTTCCCCTGTCCTTTTGCTGTTGACGTACTTGTAGAAGCCCTTCTTGTTATCCTTCACGTCCCTTGACAGGTTCAGCTCTAGGCAGGCTATGGCCTTCCTGTTTTTTTAGACTGTCTCTGTGCTCCTTCTGGGCCAACTGCTGTGGCTGCCACCACCTCCTTCATGCATCTGAAGTCATTCAGGAGCAACCAGTGTTGGACAGGAGTGCCAACCACCTGCAGGAATTCTGAGGAAGCAGTAAGGACAGCTTGCAAAGGGTGGTGAGACTCTGGCACATGTTGTCCAGGGAGTTATGGATGGCCCAGCACTGGAAGTGTTCAAGGTCAGGGTCAACAGGACTTAAGGCAACTTGAGCTAGTGAAAGACGTCCCTGTCTGTGCTGAAGAGGTTGAACTAGATGGTCTTTAAAGGTGCTTTCTAACCTAAAGCATTGGGTGATTCTATGAGACGCTGGTAGAGGCATTTTCTTTGAGGAAGTTCCCTCCTTGCCCTGCAGGATCTGTGTATGAGATCTCAGGAAGGGAATGCTGCTTGTCGACGGGCGACCTGCTGAAAGTCATGGCTGTGGCACTGCAGAAGGTCGTTTGTGAGGACATGGTGACGGGGCAGACGACAGAGCTGCCACCAACCTTTAAGGGTGAGTGAGGCTGCCCTGCCTCAGCCTGCACCCTATGGGTGCCCTCCTTCCCAGAGAGACCTTTGCAGCTCCTGTGAGCTCAGCCTCATTGTCCCACAGGTCTTTTCCAGCCCGCCCCAGCCACGGGGCCACACACAACCCCACGGGGACCCTTCCTGAAGGGTGGCAGTGAGCGGGGCCTGACGCTGCACCAGGTGCTGGGGTGGTGGGACAGGCAGCCCCAGCCCCTGCTGTGCTCCACCATCGGCCCCCGCGCCCTGCTCCTGCACCCCGTCTACGAGGTGCAGGCTGCCATGCACCGTGAGTCCGGGCG